GGGGGACAATGAGCAGTGATTATAGTAATAATAGTATCTGTAGTAATAATAATAATAATAATAAAAAGAATAATAACAATAATAATAAGCAGCGAGCGAGCCGAAAGCGCCTGGCCGACAGCTGTCGGGGAGGAGGAATAAACATCAACATGGGACTAGAATCAGAGCTGGAGGGGCCTGAGACACGTGAAGTGACTGTTATGTGTTGGCATGCGTGTTACAGAGAAAGTGAAGGGGGGCAATTACATGTTTCCACAGGGCAGCACACAGTGGAAGGTTGTGGAGGGCCTGCTGATAGAGAAGTCGCACCTAAAAAAGAAATCATATAAAATAAAAGAAACAAACACCAGACGGCAGCATTGTGTCAGTAAGACTGAACCAAACTAACAAAAACAAAACAAAGTGTGGAATGAAGGCAGAGGTTTAGAACAAACAACAACAAACATCCACTTTACACATTATTGCTGATAAAAACCTGCAGAAGAAGAAATCAGATTCAGTAACAATAATCACTTCCTGCCAAACTTCATTCATTGTTACTGGTTGTGACATCTGTCTGTAGCAAAGATGAGGACTACACTTCCTGTTGTTGTCACATGGCCTCCATCACTAACTCACCTCAGATCGCTCCTTTAGTTCCCTCTCCACAGCGATCGCTCTGCCGAGAAACAAACAGCCGGTCAGCTTCACTTCTGGAACTACTGTGGCTGTTTTTATTGGACCACACTGTCCTACATCCACCAGCCAACACACACACAGCTGCAGCTTTATCTGGCAGCGCTCCCACGGTTACTACCTCATTACTTTGGGCTTTTCTTGCACTCACATTCTCCAGTTGGCCAGACACTTTGGAGAGGTACTGCTCAGCATCCTGGCCTGGAACTTCAGGTGTTCAAGGTTTCCGTCCTGCCACTCCTGATGCAGCAACCTGAGACACAGACTGCAGTCAGAGACCTGTCTGTCTGCTGCCGACCACACTCTGTGTGTGTGTGTGTGTGTGTGTGTGTGTGTGGACCTTAGGCTCAGTTCAGTGTTGTTAGGCATGGCGTAGCTCAGTCTCTCCAGCACTAGGGCATGCTGGGACTGCGGCAGACAGCTCAGGTACAGAGTCACCACCTGGAGACACAAATCAAATAATCATCACAATGTAATGTCTCCCCTCCCCAACGCGCACTCTGACCTCTGACCTGCAGACACTCAGAGTCTTGCCTTGTTGTGGAAGCGGTAGCAGGTCCAGAACTCTGCCGGGTTGAATGGGACCTCCAGCCGAGACGGGACGGTGCTCAGACAGCGCTGGACCAGGTCTGAGAACAGTTTGGACTGAGTGTGTGCCGGACTGCGAGCCTGCTGACTGCAGCTGAACAGCAGGTAACTGCAGACACAGACAGGTTTAATGAGGCACTCTGATTGGCTCAGACTGTGTATGAATGACTCCAGAATTTAAACACTCACTCCATCCAGAGTTTGTGAAGCTCTTCCAGCTGCATGGACGACCCCAGCGCTCTCTCGAAGGCGTCCACTGTCTCCTCCACGGAGCCGTGCAGCCACTGCCAGCGACTGCAACCGACAGTGTGTATGTGGAATATGGATTTCACAGGGAACTTTAACACAGTTAACATCCGTTTCAAATCCTAATGCTTTGGCCATTTTAACAAAGACGTAAAAACATTTTTTCATGTGAGGATCAAAATTCATTTTAAACTCAGAATGATGCTGAAATGCAGATTAATGCTTTTATTATCAGCCGTTAACATTGTTGCAACTCTTTTTACCGCTGCAGTCAGGAGCTCACATTAACCTGCATTGTTCCTTTACCTCACCTCTCCCCCTGCAGGAGGCGCCTCAGTCCGACAACCTCTGCATTATGACAGCAGTGTTCAACAGGCACAGGGCTGCCCTCTACAGGTAGATCAGACCACAGCAGCGTCTGACCTCTGCTCTCTGTGTGAACATGCTCTCCAGCAAAACCAGCTCAGGAATCTACAACTGCATTAAATCAGGGACGCTCCTGGCCACTAATTTCACTGTTGAATCAACATACATTTTAATTTAGACCCGTACACAAGAATTTAAAGACTCTGTTAGCTGGCCACTATATCCTGTAGCGATTACAGTGTTTATATTATCCATTATCTGATTTAAATGTCAGTAAACGCGTCGGGATGGTAAATGGTGAATGGACTGCTAATGCTACGTTAGCTGTCAGCCAGCAGATACAGCGAGGCCGACAGCTGCTTTATAATGTGATTGATTAATGTCATCCTAATCCATACTCTGGATATTTCTGTTCAACCTGTGAGAAATAAAAGCATCTATAAACTTTAAACCCACCAGTGGATGAGGTGGAGGTAAGGCATCTGCGGACCGAGCTGCTCCTGAAGCTCCTTTATGACGGGACCTCTCAGCAGCTCCTCGGTGGGGAAACCAAGGATGTGTCTGACGGGAGAAAACAACAGTCCTCAATGTGTTCATTTATCTCACAGACATCACAACCACAACCTGACGTACCGCAGGACGTCCACGGGTTTCTTCTGACTCTGTTCGTCCTCACAGAGACTGAGGATGAATCCTCTGAACAGAGGAACAATGGCACTCGACTTCTCCTGTCAGATAACACAAAATATCACATTGAACTTTAACAGTAGCTGCAGATGTGGGAGCTTTACTGTCTGATCTGAAGGGTATTGAGAGACATTCCTGGCTGGTTTTAGCCAGGATTTTTAATCTGAGCTCAACATGCGGTTTCATTCTGTATTAATCTCATTGTTGGTTCAGTTCCCCCGAGCTGACCTGGGCCATGAGGAACTTGCAGGAGTGGTAGAAGACCTCTGCGTTGTTGGGACACTCGGCCAGAGCGTGAAGCCACATGCTGACCGCCTGATCTGCATTTCCTTTGCTGATGTGGAGGTCGGCCAGAGAGTCTCTCAGGGTGCAGGACTCGGGACGAAACTCCAGCAGAGACTCACACAGAACAACACCCTCATCGAACCTGCAGGAGACAACAACGTCAACTTTAAATACAGCTGTCCCAAACTCGAATATACAGCTATAAACCTTGTTAATTACCCTGCTATAAATCCATTAATACCCTGCTATAAAACCTGTTAATAGACTGCTATAAAACCCGTTAATACCCTGCTATAAATCCATTAATACCCTGCTATAAACGCTGTTAATACCTTGCTATAAACCCGTTAATACACTGCTATAAAACCTGTTAATACACTGCTATAAACCCGTTATTCCACCGCTATAAACCCTGTTAAGGAGGAATAGGAGCAGCAGGAGGAAGAGGAGCAAGAGGAAGAGCTCACCTCTGCAGCACTTTGTTGAGGAAGATGAGGTTGGTGTGAAGAGGCATGCAGGCCAGCGTCCTCTCACTCTGGGACAGAGACTCGTCACTGCACTGATGGATGGCGTCTGAGGAGACACAAAGTACAAACTGATCAGAACTCCTCACACAAAAAAAATATCAGGGAGGGCAAACAGGGCAGATAGAGGGCAGATAGAGGGCAGACAGAGGGCAGACATTGAGTTGTTGTTAATATAAATTACTCTCCAACCTTGGAAGAGAGCGACAAGGATGTCGAGCGGCGTGCTGATGTCCTGCAGGCTCGTCCAGGGCAGCAGGAAGGACTCTCTGCTAACCAGTCTGGACGGACCGGACTCTGCCGGGTCGAACAAGCCGGACGGCAGCCGGTCAAACTCCGTTAGGTGGATGTAGGAGAGCCAGAGCAGAGCGCGGTCGGCGGCGGTCAGGTGCTCCGCGATGCTCCTGTCGTGGGCGGACTTCAAGGCGTTCTGCACAGACAGATTATTCCTGATGGATTATCGATTGATCGGCAGTGTAACGAATCACAAACCACAGCGGTATGGCTCACCTGTAGGATGGCCAGGGCGCTCTCCATGCGTCCTGTGAACAGGTTGAGTTCCACCCTGTAGAGCAGAGCCTCCATCAGCTGGAAGGACCGTCGCTCTGAGACGGCAGGAGACGACTCAGACAGCAGAAACTGCAGCAGACGCTCACAGACGTAATCCTTCCCCTCAAAAGAGCTCTCCAGGTTCAAATACTGACGAAACAACTTTACATTAATATCAGAACTTAATGCGGCTCAATGGAAGAACCAGAGAACAGACAGTACAGACAGTACAGACAGTAGTACAGACAGAGAACAGACAGAGAACAGACAGTGGACTTACGTTCCACCACACTTGGTAGTCGGGTGCATGCTCCACAGCCATCTCACACATCTCCTGGACCTCCTCCCTGCTGCCTCGTCTGGAGAACAGTGACAGGTAATGGCTCCACACCTCTGGGTTGTCACAGTTGGTCTCCAGAGCGCGAGACAGCGTGTTCAGTGCCGCTTCCAGACACTCTGCTGCAGACCTACAGACACACACAGACATCAGAGTCTGTCCTCACAGAGGAGACTACCTGCAGTCAGCTGAGGACTCACGTCTCGTTCTGGTTCAGGTATTTGAAGGCCAGCTTGATCCACAGCTGAGTGTCTCCGGGACTCTCCAGGACGCTGGTCTCCAGGTTTGATATGTCGTCTGTCTCGCTGACGAAATAACGTTTGTCCTCTGATGTGACACACACGTCCAGAGCGGACAGGCTGGTCCTGGAGCACACGTCTGTACGCAGATCAACCACACATTAACACAAACACAAACACACATTAACACAAACACATTAACACACAGTGTTTTACTGTCTTTGCTATATTTGAATTGTTTGATCAGAATCAGAAATACTTTAATAATCCCAGCGGGTAATTACTTTCATTAAATACTCCAGATGTAATAGACATTCAATTCAATTTTATTTGTATAGCTCCAATTCATAACAGAAGTTATCTCAGGACACTTTTCAAATAGAGCAGGTCTAGACCGAACTCCTTTTAACATTTACAGAGACCCAACAGTACCACCATGGAGAGATGTTACCTTTGGAGACAGTGGCAAGGAGACTATGGGCTATAGGTGGGTTGGTCTGGTCAGCCTCGACCACCCACCGATTATATATCCTTTATATTATATACTATTATTATGTATATGATATATAATTCTCATGTATATATTATACTATATATAGGTATAATTATACGTATACTAATATATATTTATATTTATAATAAGGTAATACTATTGCGGTACAAGTATTATCCTAACTATGTATAGATGATCAATATATATCTTATATCTAGTAGTACTCTACATAACCTTATCCCATATATATTTCTATTATTTAGGTTAATGATTGAAACTGTTCGCTCCCACCGTGTTCTCTGCCGGCCAGCATACTTCCAGCCGCTGTCTCGTCCTCGCTGTCGTCCTCGGGCGCTGCAGCCGCTCTGTGCCTCGGCTTCGTCCTCCATCCTCCTCGGTGTCCTTACAGGTGGGTGACACGGAGGGACTGCAGGGACCAAGGAGTTTCAGAGATACTGACAGTGCTGATTGGTTGATTAATCAATAACGATTAAAATAGACGAATAGATATTAAAGTTCCACACCGTGTAACTTTTGCTTTCTCGTTGGACTTTGCTTGACAAACGGGAGGGACGGCTTTCTGGTCCACTCCCCATTCGGTTTTGTTTGTTGCCGAGACAGCTTCCTTCATTGTATGTCTCTCTACCAAAGACCGCGCAGAGAAGCTTCAGTTTCGCGAAAGAACAGCTCGGTGAACACAGTGACACGGGCGATCAGTAATAAGTGATCAGTAACAGGTATCAGTGTTAGCACTGGCGATCAGTAACAGAGCGGCTATTCAGATAGCATTCGGCGATTCATGGTAACACGGGCAACAACAATTCCGACTTGTGTACCGGATGTTTGAGAATTCGGGTTACTGAATTAATATGAGGGTTAGTATTAGGCTGAATATAGTGGAGGGTTAATTGTCAATTAGGGCGAATATATGACTGGGTTAGTATTAGTGTTGGAATATTATGGATGGGTTAGGTATTTACTGTAATATATTGAGGGTTAGTATTAGTGTTGAATATATGAGGGTTAGTATTAGTGTTGAATATATGAATCTGAAACCAACCTGTGGCCATGCTGACGTCTTCGTCCGAGCTGCTCTCAGAACAGCCGATCAGCGGCAGGTTGTACGACAGGAGGTCCTGGAACAGCTGGTTTGGGGTCAGAGTGCAGTTCCTCATGTGCTGCCTGCAGAGGGAGACAAGTTATTATTAGAGAAGTTTCTCATTATAGGGACTTTGGCAGACTTTGTCTATACAGTCAGTAATGTCTTCTATTAACTCTCTCAGTGCCAGACAGGTTGACCTGAGAGTCAGTCAGTATGTTGGGGAATTGGGAAAGTAAGGAAACAGGCCTGTAATCTGTGAAGTTGTGTTCATCCCCAGTTTCATATAAAGCTTTCCCTTTCATTTGGCTTTGTTAGTGACTTTACCTGTTAGACATGAGAAGCTATAGATTAGTATCGTCTTGAGATCACTTGTGTTCAAATAAAACTGAACGGAACTTGATGTCTGAAGGAAAATGAGCTTGAATGACTTTTTTGATAATAATCAGGAATGTTCAGCTCACTGTGGGAGGTTGTGGTCTCTCACTACACTCAATAATTCAACCGCACTGTGTTTGAGTTCTCACCATCTGCAGTCGTCGTCGTTGCAGGTTCCCGTCAGGTCGAAGCGGCAGAAACACTTCCTGGGTTGGATGGAGTTGCTGTGGGTCACAGAGCTCAGAGACAACTTCTCCTTGGTCCTGTAGAACGGACTGAACCTGAGACACAGACAGTATTGATCAGACACTAGCTCGTACTATCTGACTGAGGTGTTGATCAGGATAAACCAGGACCCTCAGGTCCTCCGATACTGAGACAGGGTTCCAGTTCAACAGCACTCGCTCACAGACGGTATGTGTTTACGGGTCGCTCTCTCTCGTGGCGCTCTTTGTTAAATGGTAGATGGACTGTACTGATATAGTGACAGAGTTCCTTTTCTAGTCTTCAGACCACTCAATGCTATGTTACTCTACAGCCACATCCCCTCATTCATAGTGGTTGAGCATCAGGAGCAGTTTGGGGTTCAGTATCCTCCTGCCACCTCCTGAGGCACAGCCGCCCTCTAATTGTTAGCTCAGGCTAATCAACCATTCAGATGATCCAGGACAACAGAGATTATTCCCATATATAATATATATATACACACACACACACACGCAGGAGTCCTTCCTCTGATCCACAGTGAGTCTGAGCTGCATTCTGGTCTAGTATTACAAAGTTCTGGTTCAGGTATTGTAAGGGAAAGTAAAAGTAGTTCAGATAAAACCCTCCCTGTGTGTCCCCTCAGGGCCTCTGT